CAATGGGAACAGCACCGTCTGACACTTGGAAGGATCTGAAGGTGCGCGGTGAACAAGCCGAACGTTTCCTCCGAAGGAAGAAGGCCGAGAGGAACCTACCGACGGCTAATCCTCTGGACTCAAACTTCGCCTCTCGTGGTAAGGGCAAAACACCTGCAGCTACTGGTGGTGCTAATCAAGCGTCACAACAGCAATCCCGAAGGCAGCAAAAGACTTCGGGTCCGAGACTCCAAAGAGAGTATTCCTTCAAGGACGAAGACGTTCCAGCCATCTTCGAATCCCTCCTTGAAGGTAACAAGATCAAGCTACCACCTATCACAAATCAGGAGGAAGCTGACAACACTACGGACCCAAAGTACTGTGCATACCACAGGAGGGTCGTTCATCCCACCAAGGATTGCTTTGCTCTCAAGAATAGCATTCAGACCTTGGTTGAAGCCGGCGTCATAACGCTGAGGTAAGCCAATTGAGAATGGCAAAACTCCGACCGGTATAAGAGTATAAACTGCTTCCTAAAACTCCAAAGAGTATACGAGTATAAACTGTTTCTCAATCCTCCGACCGGTATAAGAGGTTAAACTACTCCCTGATACTCCAATAGGTATATGAGTCTAAACTGTTTCCCCACTTTTGACGGGAAGTTCCTGGAGAATATTAAGCTAATATTCTTAAGGATAACCCGGTTAGTTAACTGATAATAATGTCCGAACCAGTTCCGCAGAGGAAACTGGGGGTGGACGATTTATGTAATGGGAAGTTCCCAAAACCACAGCAATGTAATGAATAAGAACTCCCATTCTCACCATGTCTATGCACTCAACACTCTCTCTGTTAGAGTCTGGACGTAAAGTACCCACTTGGTCAAACCTTCTTACAGTTAGGACCACAGTCAAAATCCCCTCTCGATTCCCCCAATGAACGAGAGGTCCACAAATTGAGCGATCAAACCTTCCTACAGTTAGGATTGTCTCAAAACACCCACTTGGTCAAACCTTCTTACAGTTAGGACCACAGTCAAAATCCCCTCTCGATTCCCCCAATGAACGAGAGGTCCACAAATTGAGCGATCAAACCTTCCTACAGTTAGGATTGTCTCAAAACACCCACTTGGTCAAACCTTCTTACAGTTAGGACCACAGTCAAAATCCCCTCTCGATTCTCCCAATGAACGAGAGGTCCACAAATCAAGCGATCAAACCTTCCTACAGTTAGGATCGTCTTAAACCTTCCATTCGGTCAAACCTTTCTACAGTTAGGACCAAAACCAAAATCCCCTCTCGATTCCTCCAATGAACGAGAGGTCCACTTTCAAATCGAGTGATCAAACCTTCCTACAGTTAGGGTCACCTCAAACTCCTGTTTGGCCAAACCTTCCTACAGTTAGGGTCAAAACCATAATTCACTCTCGATAAACGAGAAATTCATCTTTAGTTCAGTAATCAAACCTTCCGACAGTTAGGGTTATCCGAATCTTTTTGATTCTCGGAGTGGAGATCCCACTCTTAGTTTGTTTGAGCCTTTCGGATTCTGGGGGTGTGCCACCTCGAGTTTCCTTTCCAGCTGAAGATAGAATATAAAATTCTTCTTTTCAGCGTCGGGAGATAGAATATAAAATTCTTCCTCTCCCATTTCGGGTTCGTCTTTGCCCCAAGAGAAGACACCACCTTTTTCAAATCCCAAAATTTGTGCCTCACAGGTATGGAAGTTTATCCCGAATCCTAAGCAGGGATAAGTCTGCGCCTAACACGCGCTGCCGGTTTAGTCTTTTTCCGTACAAAAAGACACCAGAGTTTGATTCTGGGGTATTCTATCCTGAAACCTAAGCAAGGATAAGTCTGCGCCTAACCCGCGCTGCCGGTTAGTTCTTAACCGTTGAAAAGAATATTCGTCCACATATTCAACATTGTGGCAGGTTGTTATTAATAACACCAAAATCCATGCCTTACACGCATGGGGAATGTCATCCTGAATCCTAAGAAAGGATATGTCGACACCTAACACGTGTCGCCGGTTTAGTCTTTTACCGATTGAAAAAGACACTAGAGTTCGATTCTGGGGTATCTCATCCTGAAGCCTAAGTAAGGATAAGTCAACGCCTAACACGCGTCGCCGGGTAGTCTATTCCTGTAAGAAAGACGAAGTCTACGTATTCAATATCGTAGCACTAAAAGGGTTAGCTCTTTTAGCTTATTTAGACAATCCGCATGCTAGCCCGACTCAAACGGTAGTCGGTAAAGGCTAATCAAATCCGTTAAAGGCTTGGGGTTAGCCAAAAATCCTAAAGTCAACGCCTAACACGCGTCGCCGGGTAGTCTATTCCCGTAAGAAAGACGAAGTCTACGTATTCAATATCGTAGCACTAAAATGGTTAGCTCTTTTAGCTTAACGTCACATGCGGAACGGACTTGAACAATCTGCATGCTAGCCCGACTCAAACGGTAGTCGGTAAAGGCTAATCAAACCCGTTGAAGGCTGAGAAATCCGTTGAGGGCTGAGGATTTGCCAAAAATCCTAAGTCAACGTCTGATACACGTTGCTGTTTAGTCTTTTCACAGGAGAAAGACGAAGTCTACGTATTCAATATCGTAGCACTAAGAGCGTTAACTCTCTTAGCACAACGTCACATGCGGAACGGACTTGAACAATCCGCATGCTAGCCCGACTCAAACGGTGGTCGGTAAAGGCTCATCAAACCCGTTGATGGCTGAGGGTTTGCCAAAAATCCTATAAATACGAGAGTCACTGACGCACCAGCTTCATTAGTTGGTCTCGTGACCGGAGCATCCAACGACATTCGAAACCCTAGGGTTAACGTCGGTCAACGCGTAACCCTAGGTCAACGCCAGTCAACGCGTTGCGAGCAAAAATTCAACGTACGACGTTCGAAACCCTAGGGTTAACGCTGGTCAATGCGTAACCCTGGGTCAACGCCAATCAATGCGTTGCAACGAAAAACGCGTAACCCTAGGTCAACGCCAGTCAATGCGTTGCGATCAAAAAATCAACGTACGACGTTCAAAACCCTAGGTCAACGCCGGACAACGCGTAACCCTAGGTCAACGCCTATCAATGCGTTGCAATGAAAGAACTAACACTCCGAAGAGTATATGAGTATAAACTGCTCCTCAATCCTCCAACAGTGCATGAGGTTAAACTGCTTCTTAATACTCCAATAAGGTATACGAGTATAAACTATTCCCTATTGTTGGTTGAGAAGTTCCTGGAGAATATTTTCATTCTTAAGGATAACTCAACAACACTACGCCGGACAACGCGTCGCAAATAAAGACTCAACGCCGACAGTCGAGGGCCAGTTCTGTGTTCAACCAGCAAGCACGAGCTAAAAATCAGAAAACCAGGAATTGACTTCAAGTTCGAATTTCTGACAACGATCAGACAATAAATGCAGCACCGGAACTCTTGCAGACATTCGACAAAGCACCGAATAGCCTGGAAGATTGAAGGAATCAAGAACGGAAGTCATTCCAAGGTCCCATTACACCGACTGAAGGTGGGGACAATCATATCCAAAGTATTCCAGACTCTTCTATAAAAGAACGAGACTGAAATACTTTGGAGGGGGTATCTGTAGGCATATAAAATTGCTTATAGGTCCCTTAGCTCAGCTCGGCACGAACCGACAAACCAACGAGGCGACGAGATCGACGAATCGCACGCAAGCAACGGAATACATCCATTCGCGTGCGGGATCAAGCCAAGTGTTCGAAGAGTCAACGAGTCATCCAACCGAGAGCGGACTCGAACGAATCACGATCGAATCAAGATCAGTTTCGAACTCAAACTCAAAAGCCGATTTACTGCCTAATCGGGATCCAGACTTCCAAATCAAGATCCCGAACAAATCAAAGTTCACAACAGAACCACAACCGAATCACGGACAGAACCGAAAACAACGGAAAACAACGGAACGAACAACACCCGGAGGGGCTCGGCCGAAACCGAACCATCTCAAGGTGGCTCGGCCCAAGCCGAGCCACCCTGAGGTGGCTCGGTGGCCGGACCACCAGTGGTGGCTCGGCCGAGCCACCTAAGTGCTCGGTGGCCGAGCCAACCTTGGGTGGCTCGGCACCTCCGAGCACAATTTTGGCTCGGAGGAGGCCGAGCCACCTCCTTGGTGCGCTCGGCGGGCCACCAAGGTGGCTCGGGCACCACCGAGCACCAAGAGGTGCTCGGGGCCGACCACAGGTGGCCGGCCGGCACTCTTGGTGGCTCGGCATGAGCCGCAGCCACTCTTGAGGTGGCCCGGCCACCTTGAGCTGGCCACACTGTGCCCAAGGCACAGTGAGGGTAGCCTATAAATAGGCCACCCCCTTGTTCATTTGAGAAGGTTGGAAATTTTGGAGAGAGGCGAAGCCCTGCTGGATTGGAGACTCGGAACTTAAAAAAGATTGAAACTTTGGGACTTCGGGGACTCACTCCTTCAGATCTGGTGCTCGGCGATCATCAACGTCAAATAAGACAGGTGTTCGAGAGGATCAGATCTCAGATCTACGCAGGCATACTCCGGATCTAAGCTTGGTCTTAGATCCCGAGACTTGGACGATTGTTTCCTTGGTGAAACAATCCTCCCCGGCTATTATTTCCTTGGTGAAATAATACCCGTCGTACTGCGTAGATCCGACCGGATCTAGATCTCGCGGTGGTCCACGGCAAACAACCCCGGCGCAGGCAAAGAACCCACAAAAGCGAGCGACCGCAAAACAGGAGCTCGCGATTCGTTCGACACAAAAGGAGAAAAGCTGTAATCTTTGTTTATTTTTATTTGATTTTCGCTGTAACCGGATCTTATAAAAAGACCGGATCTTTTGTAACTCAAAAAGTTGTAACTCAAGATGACAATGGAATCAATAACAAAGAAAGACGCGAATTTTCCAGCGAACACCAGCAAGGGGAAAACAGTGGAAAAAATTATTCAATGCAAATTATTGAAGATTTTTTTTTTCACAATCATCCAACATATGCAAGTTAATTTGTATAAGCCAAATAAAATTTTCTCTCATTCTTATTCAGTTGCATTAGATGCAGGGTGCAATTTTCACATCAATACTACAACAAAGTTGTTTTAGGGCTTGGAATTCTTGGTCATTGAGAGATGCTGCAGCCAATCGTTCAGATAATTCTGGCTCTGAGACACTGTGAAATTATGATATTTTGTTGTAGATAAAATAGCTTCAACATTCCCAGCTTGAGAGGTGGCTTCCAGCCGATGGATGATGAACCTACATCAGAATCACGCTCCAACAGTTTATCATTTCTTGGTTAAAATTAGCATAATATGAACAATTAAGTAATGAACAGTCATTTGAAACCATGATGGAAGGCCGTGTTTTGGGGGGGTGTTCGAAAGGGGGGGTTGCTTCATCTCCATCGGTATATGACCTGAAGACCAATCTGTGTCGTCCTACATCGAGCATAATTGGATACAGGTAAGCAAAAAACACGCACAAGTGGAAAATATCTGGAGTTAAAGCCATAATACAAATCACAAATAACTCAAACAACACAGATTGAAGTAAAGAAAAGCAAGATGCACATAAAGATTAAATTTAACCAAAACTTGAACCCAGTTCAAGAAGATTAAAATCAAGAAACCACCAAAAAGTAAGAAGGCTATCATAAATTAAATAGAATGTATAGATAAGAAACAAACAATGTATTTGATGCAACGGAAAATGCCAGTACGTATATCAGTCAATCACAGTACCTGCACGGTTTCGTCATATGAGAATGAAGGACCATTCTTCATCTTCTTCTCTAAAAAGTTAATTGCTTATTGCTCTTTCAAACCAGCACTTGTGGCCTGGAAACAAAATTGATTTTCAGGTCAGCAATGGTGATTTTTTATTCCCCTTTTTTCTTTAATTTGAATCGACTGTCCCATTTGAACATGTAACAAGACCAAGTCCACGATACCCGATAAGAGAAACCAGAAGCTATTAGGACTGTCCCATTTGAACATGTAACAAGACCAAGTCCACGATACCCGATAAGAGAAACCAGAAGCTATTAGTGAATACAACAAACAACAAAAAGAAAGACCAAGTCCACGATACCCGATAAGAGAAACCAGAAGCTATTAGTGAATACAACAAACAACAAAAAGAAAAAACAGGTCTCACAACATTAATTTGTGCAAATAACTTAATAAAACATGAATTAGTGTTAGGAAAGATGTCAGAAACAGAAGGCTATGATAAAGGCATAAGATAAATTATTTTTTCTTTGCTAATCTTCCAACTATCATACGAAGATGTGTGCATGGTTGTGGTCGTGAACACGTACGACATTATTGAAATTGGACCTGAAGCTAAAGATGCAGTTCAGATGATGAACATATTATAAAATATAGTTCTCTCAACTACATCTACGTCATGCACTCAACAAACATATGGCTCGTGCCATGAACGTCTCTAGCTGCAACCAAGTGTTGTCACCCTAAGTTTCAAGCTATTTATCTTATAAGAGACCAGATGACAGCAGGACAAAAGTGAAAAGTTTTCAATATTACCTTGTGAAAAAAAAATGACCAGCTGGATCACATTTGAATAGTTGAGGTCCATTTTCTTCATCAATACCCAATATCATGGCAGCTACCAACAGAAAGTAGGAAAAGCGATAGGTGAAAGAAAAAAGCATAACCAGTGGAATATATGAAGTAATTAATATAAAAGAGAAGGGAGAGATATAGAATGTAGTCTAAACTGACCACCAATGAGGCCAAACAATGTTGCAGTATGAAATATAATTTAGTAAAAAAAAAGGGAAAAGAAATAAATGGCTACAAGTCGAGTACCTGAATATGCGGTAATTATTATTTTGTCTGCTAAGATCCAATGCTTTGATACCATTGCCAATGGTGTCATTAGCTTTCCTCGTTGTAGAATCCGGTAAACTCTCATTCGTTTGAATAGTCTTCTTGAGAACTGAGAATAATAGTGTCAGAACTTGATCAAGATTAAAGGCTATTATGTTTGTAATGTGTCAAAATTAATTATTGGCAACATCACATACATATTGAATTTCATTACAAACATATTGTTGCTTCACTAAACAATTATTTATCAATAATATTCACACTGTGAGGACTCTGACATATGAAATTCGCCACGAATAATACTCGGAGTAGCAAGTGATCAATGTTGTAAATGCTATAATATGATTCTAATTTACAGATCAATCTTGAGGGCGCTATTTATGTTGTACTCTGATGTTCCATATTGGAATGCTGGCATTGTTGGGGGTGGATGTAATGAAGCTTCCTCTGCATCCTGTGATAAAATATGAATGAAGTCAGCAAGCAATTTACAAGGTTTTCTGTTGCAGAGACTTGGAAATAATTATGAGATTCAAATGAAATAAAAGTATCAATAAGATCTAAGTTAAAAAAGTAAGTTTAGAAAACAACAACATCATCAACACGACCAATGTAGAAAGATTTAAGAAAACCGTTTTGAAAATCATTGTTACCCGTTTTGTAGGCTACAGGTTCCATTTTCAGTAACAAATGGTGGAGTAGATGACATATGCCAGGAAAATGAACATATGGCTGCCTGCATACAGCACAATGTGATGCTCGCAGACCATGCATGGCCCTGTGTACACACCAAAAGCATGTAATATGGCCACATGCTGCAGAAAGAAGAGAGAGGTAAGCAAATATCGGCCGTGTCATTTATACACGTATAATTTCAATAAAGCATCCTTACCTCAATGATGGTTATCATTGTAACTATTAGCTCGTAGAACAGTTCAATTAAGAGCTTCCCAGCGAAAGATAGATGTAAATTGAAACATGAAAATTTGAATGATTTTTAGACTTAAAGCTAAGTGGGACCGGAAAGATAACCATTAAGTTACACAAGTTAAAAGTGTATTTAGCCAGTAATTTAGCACCAATTTAGAGTGGTTGAAGTCAATGACAATTTGTATATTTCATGGATCCTTGTGATCCAAAGCCAATTCCATTTTAACGAAAAGAAACTTGGATGACAAGGAAAAGCTATAGAACAATAAGTAAACTGTTCAATGAGTTTGCAAACATGCAATCTAAAGATGTATGTGAATCATTCAGGTAATATTATGAATCATAACTAAACCGTATAGACTACTTTAGTGGATCCATTATGTAATTTTCAGAATGTTAAGCAGTAAAGTAACACTTAATAAGAATAGTTCATAGCATATACTGCAAACAAATGTTAAAACTTTACAAAATTACAAAATGAAAATCACTACATAATCAGGAGAATAGATCATTGCTTGTACAATGTTCATGTCAAATTACCGCAAAGAACCCATAGGTTCTCACGTAAGGTTAAGGATGCAAACGTATACTATATAAGAAAATCAATTTGGAATCCATCACCTACCTTTAGTAGAAACAACAGATAATTTAGTGGTCTACTTTACAAGGATCCTAAAACTACAACCTCTCATGTATGAGAAAATGTTCACATTTCGTAATGTTCAGTTAACATGGATGCCTTGTTGGAGTGTAGATCAATTTTAAAAAAATAGGAAACAAGAAATATTAAAGTTACATAATGCCTCCACCAAAGTAGGTAATAAACATTTGATGACTTTTATAAGTTAAGAGATGTGTCATGTGAGCAAAGTGAAGGAGCCAAAGCAAGAAGTTGTGAGATTGCAGAAAGCCTGCAAGTTCAAGAGGAGCTGCTTCGGCGATAAGGAAGACTCCGCTGCTGCCTCTACCATCCTCCTCTTAGCCTGTGTTGTCTGTACACCAAATTTCGTGTGAACATAGTACTGTTCCTTTTAGTCTTAATTTCTTTCTACCAAGGTTTCAGTTGACATATAATGTTCTTGCTTTCTCTCCCTCTCTCTGTCAAGCATTTGGTGCCTGGGAACTGAGTTTTTTCAGTAGCCCAAATGATTCCAGAAATAGGTACTCTTTTAGTTTCGAAAAGAAAATATTATGAAACATGGCGGTTAGGGCATAATCTATGATATGACCGGAATTTACATAGTGCACAACGTGATTAGTGATGGATATTCTGTGCATATTTCTCTGGATACATGTACCCATATATATATTTGTTTGTATACGTATATGTCCATGTATGTATGTGCCAGATGTAATATAAGGGATAATATGGAATGTTTTACTCGGTGATATTTATCGACAAAGTAGTTGATAAATCAGAATGGTAGTGGGGAGAATATGGACACTCAACGAAAGCAGCTAGTTACCCGGGTACGATACATGTACAATATATGGGAATCTTGATAATCTTCATGAATATCCAATAACATTTCATAAACTGGCGCAAGGGCACACTTAACTACTGTTGCGTAAAATACAGCACTTCTTTCCTAAGCATAGTGAAGATTCAGTCCGGCTCCAAAAAATATAATAGTGGTTCTGAGCACTCTCGTGCTGCATTTTAACATTTTGAAAAATCACAGAACAATAGAAATACCAGTCATGTAATGCCAGTAACGTAATTTGATCAAACCCTCATCATCACATAACCAAGTTTTCCTATAGCAGATTGCCGTCAAAGTAAAGTTTCTACTACTTAATTTGACAGTTCCAGTTTGGTGTGCAAAAGTCTCAAAGTAAGAATTTCCACAGGACGATTCCAAATATACCAATTCGAATACCAGGAGCATACGACTTTGGTCTCTGTAGAGAGATGGTTACGTTAACAAACCCCTAATGCAGCAACTTGTTCAACAAATATAACCATTATAAACTATAATGCATGGTTACGTTAACAAACCCCTAATGCAGCAACTTGTTCAACAAATATAACCATTATAAACTATAATGCAACCTATAAGATCCATTCAAGTTTGTAGATATCGAAACAGATAACTCGATGATGCTGATATATAACTCATCGCTGAAAATATTACTTGAGCTCCTTGTTCACTTTGGTAAAAGGTGTCCAAGAAAAACATGTTTGCATTATAAATAGATGCATTGAGCCTCACAACAGGGACAAGGGAAGGAGAAGAAGCCTACGGCAATTTAGGCTCACATGACGACATACATAGAGGCCTCACTGTATAAAGACAAAGAAAGCTTAAATACCTACAAATAGGCTCACATGACGACATACATAGAGGCCTCACTGTATAAAGACAAAGAAAGCTTAAATACCTACAAATCTTCGTCACAATGAGAAGCAAGATACGACCTCTATCTCAAGATAAAAGCTTGAAGGTTTCAATCCTTGCATTAAATAATGGGACATATTCAAAGATTAAAAGTCTCTGTAAAAAACATTTACCTATCTAGTTCTTAGTTATCATCGATACCATAAGCCTTTTACCATCAAAACTTTACCGGAGGCAAAACTAACAAACAGAACAGACTGTTGAATAAACAAAAATATTGTGCATTTCTGAAGCAGATACTTCGGATTGGAACAATGACATCAGGAGAACTTTTTATAGGACACTGAAAAAAATAATGGCGTCTAATTTATTGCATCAAATTATAAGACCAGATGTGGATCATTTTCATATGACTCAATGTATCGTAGTACTATAATTAAGCATACATGTTTGGTGTCTGATATATGAACCATGCTTATGTTTAACTGCAGGATGTGATCCTGACGAACAATGCTATGGAATCCCATTTTCTATACTCATATTCGACAACAAAAGATTCATTACATCCCTCAATAACTGGGGACTGCATAGGTTAATCTAATAATTTTTAGATACCAAATTTGTTGTAAGTGAAAATATTGGACATAATTCATCCTAAAGAGTAATTGATGAAGAAAGCTCCGAATTCCCGACGAAAGAAGTGAGTGGATTAAAAGGTGCTAACGAAAGTCAAAAGTAAAGAATGTCTTCTAATGTATGAAGATAGAAGATGTGCATTACCTAACCTTAATAGATTACAAAACTCCATACTGATTAAAATCTCACCAGGTCACAAGAAAACAATCTAACTGTCTTAAAACTGCATATTCACTATTATCACAAAAAAAATTTGTCAAAAACACGCAACACATCCCACTTACCATTCCATTAAAACACCAAGAATTGTTCAAATGTACAAATATGAAACCAAACTTCACAGTAAATTTCAATCAAGAACAGTCACAAGCCCTAAAAACTTATCGAACTTCTACAAAATATAACTTCAACGTACTAAAAAGAAAGCTTACCAAGTTCATAAAAAGGAAAAAAAAAAAGAAAAAACTTTAAAGAATGTCTTCTAAATTAAAGAAAAAATTAACAGTAGCATACATTTTCCCACTCCTAGTATGTTTATCTGCATTAATCAATATCTATGGATCATGCTTTAGGCATTGATCATTAGTTAGGCATATGCACGCGAGAAACAACATTATATAAATGTGACAACCAAGACCCTCATCTTCTCAACTAATTAAACTCTTCTTGCTTCACTTTAATAATTTGTAAGCCAGTATTTTTGATGTATTGTGCAGTATTTTTGCTAATGTTAATTTTTACTGTATTGTGCAGTATTTTTGCTGTATTGATATACATTATGTTAGGTAAATATCTAGCAGTCTTCCAAAGATTTGTCCATTTCCATACACATAGGATAATATGAAGTTTTAAACTGCAATTAAAGGAATAGTTCTCAAATAGATGACGAACTATATACTCCTCTACATTTATGGTTTTGTAGGCTCATATCACGGTAGATGTCCGCTTAAATACTAAACAAAGACATATTGGGTAAAACTTCATTGCTCAACAAGGCTAGATAACCATAAGTCCTTGTATTAAAATACAAAATGGTCTCATTTGAACTTTATAGTTGTTCATTTACGCAGAGTTCATCGAAACTAAATAAATTGAAAGTAGACTTCAACTAACTCAGATTATGATGTTGGAGAAACCATGTCAACCAAGATTCAAGTCACTGGTATAGCCACAGGATTCGATCATCAACACTTATCTAAAACATCCTAAAGTTTCTAGCAAGCTGGCTTTCCGAGAATCACAGTAAATCTTGAGAAGGAAATATGGCTACTCAGAAATAATTATAATGTGTTGTGTGCCGTGCAATGCATAAATAACACTAAAATTTTAAAACATCCTAAAGTTTCTTGCAATCTGACTTTCCAAGAATCACAGTAAATCTTGAGACTTCATGATCAATAACCAAGAAGGCATTGCCATTTATTTTCTATGTAACATACAAAAACGTACACGATAGTAACTTTCCATGTGAATAAGTGAAAATGTAAGCTTATTTGATGAATGTGTCACTGCATAGAAGCAATGATTTGGTCATGAGAGTTGTGGGATATAACTTTTTCCTCCTAAAACTCAGCCATATGTTGATTGTTATGTTTGCAGCAGGAGGCCTAGGATGTATTGAGAGGTGTTTCTTCTTTCCAACCATTTAAAATGTTCCCTTTACCATATTTAGACTTAGGTGTCTGATAGCATACTTATATCATCAACACAAATTGCTTCAATGTCCCTAGAGACTGATAAAAATTCTAGACTCCAGCAATAACGCAATCTTACGTTATTTTTTATTCAATGTACTAATACTAAAGAGTAAAAAATGATCCATGCATATCCAGGAATTTGATTTTGGGTGCAGTTATCTGTTGATTGTGTGTTATGTTTAGAATTTGGTTTAGTTATTGTTGATGCCATGTGAAGGAAAAAAGAGAGGGTGTCTGTTTAAGATTTAAAAATCCCATATGCAGAGTTGTTTCATTTTGCTTGGGAGCTTGGATTTTCCGAATGATGTTGCCAGTTAAGTTTCGGATTGAAAAAAATGCTCATATTTCTATGTTTTTTTTTCTTTTTTTATTTTCCCCCAAAATAACGATAATAAACTCAACTGAGAATTGATTTTTTGTATTTTAGAGCATTTACGCAATTACTTTCAATCAATTATGTATGTTTCATGGGATAACTGGATTTAACGCATGTTCTTCCACCATGAGAATTCTCTATCAGACTCAGCAAATGACAACTCAAAACCTCAAAATTTAAAAAAAAAACCCATATTTCACAACCTTGAGAGCTTTAATATCAAACACCATAAGAAGAAATCAACAAACAAACACATATAAGATACAAAAGAAGTTATAACTGGAAAACAGAACTAATTTAGGAAATAAATCACAATCAAAATCTAAAAATTTAAAAATATCAACTCAACTCAACTTACTTTATAATGTCGATCAAGCTGCTGTTGGAATTTTTAAAACCTTGTCGCTTGAAACTATAAAAATCCGAAAATTAGTGAAAGTTGTATAAAAAAATGAGAGAAATGAAGAAGTAAAAGGGGATAGTTAGAGTTAGGGTTTTGTATAAAGGAGTGAAGATGAAGAAGAAATACCTTACTGAATCCCCAATTGCAGAAATTTTTGGAGATGAATGCGAAAAATCTGAAGAAATAGTTATCTGTGCAGATATTTGTAACGATTCAACTTCAAAGGAGAAGAGTATCCGACGAATAATCCACATGTTTGCAAATTCCTGTAACTCTTCGGCTTCGTCGGAGAAGGGCAATCGACGATCTCTTCGTCTTCGGCGGTGCGGAAGGCGTAACGGAGGCGGAATTTGAGGATGCTGTCGATGAATTTAATGTAACGATTTTAAACGATTTAATGTAACGATTTTAAGGGAGAAATTGGGTATATTAAAGATGGTTGAAGGTTAATATCGGGATAGGAAAGTTTTTCAGGAACTGGCTCTTTTAAAGGGTAGATAGATTATATTTTTTTCATATGTGATATATGTATTATAATTAATATTATTATAATAATAATAATATAATTTTTTATTTTTTTATTTATAATTATTTAATTTTGATATTTATCAAATATTATTACAATATTAAAAACAAGACAAGATTTTATTGATGTAGATAAATCAACAGTACAATTTATTAAAAACACACAAAACAAACTAAAATTTGACAAAATTAAAATCGAAAGTTGAAAATTAAATTGCGGTTGCTCCAAACTTTTGCCAAATGTGCTCGACAAGATCCTCCTTCAATTGAAGATGTTTGGCCCTATCTCGGAGTTCAGATCTAGTATGAATATCTGATTCGGACCTACCTTGAACATGCACTTCAAACTGAGGTAACGTTTGTGTTTGGTAATCAAATGATGAGCTCGAGCTAGCAATGCTTGATGGTTCAAAGTCAACGTTCTCCCAGTTTCGACTATAAGTATCCCGTTCATCCTCCACTATCATATCGTGTAAAATAATACGCGCTCTCATAATTTTTGATAAGACATTCAAATCCCACATTCTAGCTGGTTGACGAATTATAGCAAAACGTGCTTGGAGAACCCCAAATGCACGTTCCACATCCTTCCTACAAGATTCTTGTTGTTTTACAAACAATTTCGCTTTTTCGCCTTGGGGATATTGAAATGATTGGACAAAGACAAGCCATTTGGGATAGATTCCGTCAGCAAGATAGTATGCCAAATTGTATTGATGACCATTCACAGTGAAGTTCACATGCGGAGCTTCACCTGCCTCAATGTCATCAAAGACAGGTGACCTTTCAAGCACATTTATATCATTCAATGTACCTGGCAATCCAAAAAAGGCATGCCATATCCACAAGTCATAAGAAGCAACCGCTTCGAGTATTACTGTTGTTGTGCCTTTATGTCCACTGGTAAATTGACCTTGCCAAGCCTTAGGACAAATTTTCCATTGCCAATGCATGCAATAAATACTTCCAATCATTCACAGAAAACCCATTGCCAATGCATGCAATCAATACTTCCAATCATTCCCGGAAAACCGCGTTCTTCGCCTACTTTTAGTAGTCGTTGGAGGTCTTCCTCATTCGGCCTTCTCAAATAGTCATTCTCAAATATGGCCACAATACCTTCACAAAACTTGCTGACACACTCTACTGCAGTGGTTTCTCCAATCTTTACGTATTCGTCACAAGCATCAGCTGCAACACCATATGCTAACATGCGTATAGCAGCAGTACACTTTTGAATTGGCGATAAACCACGCTTTCCAGCACTATTTCTCCTCTGAGTGAAATACGTGTCATAATTTGAGAGAGAATCTACAATTCGTAGAAATAGTGGTCGTTGCATTCGGTATCTCCGACGAAATTGGTGGTCGGTGTATGTGGGAGATTCGACAAAGTAGTCTTTCATCAGCCTTTGATGGGCAGCTTCATGGTTTCTCTCTATGTATGTCCTCTTATGGGATCGATTACTTGCAGCTTGTAACTCTTCAAGTAACTGTTGTTGGCATTTGAGTAAAGATTCCTTCAAATCCCATTGTTTTTGGAGTTCCTCTAAGTTAAACTCGTATGGGGGTGGATTCATCTAAGTAATAATTGTGTAGATGAAATTGGTAATGAAGTGATGTGTAATAAGTTCAATATCCAAGTGGTATTTATATTACCCAATCTTAGATTTTCAGATATCACATGTGAAGAGATAAGGTTTGTTTGTAGTGTGCAAAGATCACATGTGAAGCAACATTGATTTTGAGATGTTCAAGAGATAAGGTTTGGACTGTAGTGTGCAGAGATCACATGTGAAGCAACATTGATTTTGAGATGTTCAAGAGATAAGGTTTGTACTGTAGTGTGCAGAGATCACATGTGAAGCAACATTGCTTTTGATATGTTCAAGAGATAATGTTTGTTTGTAGTGTGCAAAGATCATATGTTTGGACTTTTACGTACAACATAATTGAGCTTTGCTTTTCAAATTTCAAATGTCTTACATACAAAGGAATTGTTTGCAGGAACCAAGATGCATTTTATTGAACAATACACTCAGACATCACATTCTAACAATACACTCAGACATCATACTCAGACAATACACTCTTAACATCATACTAAACAACACACATTACATTTATTCTTAGAATTGTAAAAGATGAACTCTCAAACAGATAAACTTAAAGGCCAAACAATTCGATCTGTAGCATGTTAAGCGGTTTATACTCATACTCGTCCAATGCATTTCTTTTAGCTCCTGGCGTTCAGACTCTATCTTAGAGTATACCTCCTCAATAACAAGTTTCGATCTTCTAGAGGAGCCCTTAGCTTTTTTCTTTGTCGTGTCTCTACCTTCTGGGCGTACAAAAGAAGGAACTGATGAGCATGAGATATCACCTTCCCCGCTACTCTTCCTTTTACTTCCACTACTTTGAGATGCACCAGATCCAACCATATATTTTGGTTCATTACGAACCAACTTCCATTCTTCAAGCAAAGCAAAGTTTTTTTTAGTTTCTTCAACAAACAAATCTTGAGCTCTTGCTATGTAGTTGTCGTCTGACCAACCGCTACGCCTCTCTGCTAATGCTTTTCTGTATACACCAACCCACTTACCAATTTTTTTTTGTTGAGATCACTGTAATGGCTTTTACATTGTTGGTGACTCCTATGAGGGCCAGTTGTTGAATGCTCATTCAAGTAAGCAGCAATTTTACCCCAAAAAGTGTCACCCTTTTGGCCACTACCCAATTCACTATCATTACTGAAGTGAAAATAACTAGTTAAAAGTAGTTTGTTTTGCTCGACACTCCAAACCGAATAACTAGATTTAGAAGTATTTTTCTGTGTTTGGGGCAAAAAACTATGTGGTGTGTCATCACCAGCACTTCCAAGAGATATTTGAGTGGAAAACTCGGGTACATCTGTTGATCCACTGCTAAAATGAGGAGTAACTTGCTCAGTGTTTTGATTATTGATATTGGAGAAACCACCATAATTACTTCCACCAGTTTGTTGCCCATATTGCATATAAGGGAAATTATAAGGATATTGCATACCAAAATTAGATGGCATCATATACGGCATCTGAAAATTGGATGGCATGTTTTGAAGATTTTCAGGACGTTGATTATTGGAATTTTGAGGTTGGTTAGGAAACATATAAGTTGGGGGACGATTAAAATTTTGATTAGGGTCCATTTTGAAAGAGAGCAAAGAAGTTGGAGGAATTTTGAAAGAGAGCAAAGAAGTTGGAGGAAGAAAGAAATTTTGGAGAAAATACTCAAAAATTTTGGTGTCCAAATAAAGCAAAGTGGTCTCTATTTATAGATCTTGAAAAAAGAAAATTAATGGTGAATTTTTTTTTAATTTGATCAATTTATTGGTAAAAAATACCATTTAAAAAGAGGGTGGAAAAGAAAAATGCATCAACCAACACGAAGCTGCCACATGTCGCGATTGCACCTCACCTCCTTTGTGTTTTCTCCCGCGGATAAGGGGCTGTTTTTTTTTTTGAGAGGGAAATGTGGGGAAAGCCTGCCAAAAGTGCAGCTTTTGGTAGGCTTTCCACCCAAATCGCCTTTTTTAGAGGCGATTTGGGTGGAAAGCCTGCCAAAAGCTGCACTTTTGGCAGGCTTTCCCCACATTTCCCTCTAAAAAAAAGGAAACAAATAGCCCCAAAATGAGCACTCCAGCAGCAAACAATTGCTTTTACAATGACACATGGCGCGATTTGATTGCTTTTCACTACAATAATTCTAGATTTATTGAATAATTCCCTCCAAAAGCCACATCACTTCACCTTTACAATTATTCTTTGTTGGAGCAAATAATTCACCCAATTATACACTATTGGAGATGGTCTAAGAAAGAACAGAAAATTCAATTGTAACCCATACTCCAATATAAAAAGAGACTGAATGAAACCAAGTTTATGCTATTATATACTCAGCTGAGTGTGGGCTTCTCATTGGAGCAGGACAACTTATACAAAGAATAAGAAGAACAATTAAGTTGAACGTCAACCACGAAAAAATATGAAGAGAGGATGAATTTTGCATTGAAAGTAATTTATTTGCTTTGAAATTAAAAAAAACATTGGAAATAGAAGAAGAACGAGCACATTTTTTTTGAAGGAAAATAGGGCAAAAGGATAACTTTGTTATAACAGGTTATTATGCATGACACCGATATATGAGATATGGTGGTGGGTCTCAACCATCGAGAATGGAGATTCTCCGGGTGTATGTCATAAGCACGCATTATGATGTGTGTAGCACTAGACCGTATTTGAATTCTCTAGGATGAGTCACCTAAGAGATAGAGAGTTCAAATTGTTACATGGTCCCTTTGACTTGATGATATTATCATTTTCGATTTGATAATTTAGTATGCTTTGATGTGATGGTTAAGCTTGTTTAGCAAGCGCTACACAACCTGAAACATTGGGTTGCTAAATTTCATTTAGGAAAATGATGGATGTCTAGATAGGATCCAGTATGCTCATTATGATGAGTTAATTTATTATGCATTCCCATGAAGCTATTAAATTCCTGCCGGCAGGTGGTTTTGAAAATATTTTAAAAATTTTATTTTCTTATAAAAAATAAAATATTTTGATGTTTCAAAATAGTTTTTATTTATGTTCATGGGAATTGTAAATTTAGGCATGAGCAAATAGGTGAGTTGTCCTGCTTAAAAGAGTTGCCTAAAATAAATGATACTGGAAGGGATTGAATGTAAGATATTATTTATTAATAATTAATCCCATATTATGGAAGAGCTTTTATGAACAATTGGTCGGATAGGGATTTGATTGTTAAATTAAAATTATTAATTTGATTAATAATTGGTTCTTGATATGGGACCCAATTGGTCTCACTAATGTCATTAGAAGAGGTATACATGCAATACAATTCTATTTCTATCCTTAATTGTTATGGATAAAGTTTTTGAATAAATCTATTTCTATCCTTAATTGTTATGGATAAAGTTTTTGAATAAATCTATTTCTATCCTTAATTGTTATGGATAAAGTTTTTGAATAAATCTATTTCTATCCTTAATTGTTATGGATAAAGTTTTTGAATAAATCTATTTCTATCCTTAATTGTTATGGATAAAGTTTTTGAATAAATCTATTTCTATCCTTAATTGTTATGGATAAAGTTTTTGAATAAATCTATTTCTATCCTTAATTGTTATGGATAAAGTTTTTGAATAAATCTATTTCTATCCTTAATTGTTATGGATAAAGTTTTTGAATAAATCTATTTCTATCCTTAATTGTTATGGATAAAGTTTTTGAACAAATCTATTCTATCCTTAATTGTTATGGATAGAGTTCTAGATAATTATGAATTGTTTAAAGTTAAAATCTCTAAGACTAGTGTAATCCTATAAATAGGGTTCATATGTAGCCTTATGAGAGGTTAAGAGAAGAGATTCAAAATCTTATGAAGATAATATGAAGAAATAGATTTTTGAGAACCTATCTCTCAGTATTGCTCCTCTACGGTGACGGGTGGATTTCAATTGGAGGCTTTTTCTCTTGAGGAAGCTATTTCGGATTGATCTCGGGACAGATTATTGTAGAAATTCGGAAAGCGTTTCAGGTATTTTTCTAATATTTAATTAATATTGATTAATAGTCATGATATGTTTTTTCCGCTGCGTTGTATGTCATGTTTCCAACAGATGGTATCAGAGCGGGTTTAGAATCCAATCTATAATAATTTAATAAGATCAAATTATTTTTTTATTCGGGGTACTGTTCATCAGCTTATGTTACTGTTCATTGCCGAGAACACTGTTCACGGCTCGGTAGTACTGTTTATCGCCGAGAACACTGTTCACGACCGGAGTGGGTACTGTTCATAACCTGAAATCAATGTTTACAATAGTGGGTTATTGTTTATGGGTTAAAA